AAAAAGAAGAAGACAGTGAAGAAGATAGAAATGGTGTGGGGAAAAGAGATTGGAGAGAGATAAGAGAAATAGAGAATGAAAAAAAAAGAGACGGGAGAGAGAGAAAGAAAAAAGAAAGAGAGAAAAAAAAATAGATAGGGATGTTCATGAGAGAGAAGTAAATGGATAAGGATGTTGAATATGTAGTTTTTAAAAATAATATTGCGTGTTTATTTAATTTTTATTTATTTATTTATTTATTTTGTGTCTGTCTATTTTTGTTTAATGTTTGGAGTAAATTGGGTATTGTATATGACTTGCAACTGTTTTGTAAAATCATTATTAAAAAGGAGCAGTTATAAAATTTTCCCCAAATAATGTGGCTTTCGCTTGGCCCATGGGCCCGATTGGGCTTGATTTTGGCGTAATTATATATATAGTTAACGAAAATAAAAGATTTGCAAAAATACCATGGGTTGTTATAATATTGCATTCCTAAAAAATCTGGTTAAAATTATTGCATATATGCCAAGATTCAGTTACCATATTTGAAAAGTTGTAACTTATCATTGATAATGGGACCGTTTTTCACGTTAAAATATAAAAAATAAAAACCAACATGGAAAGTAATTAAATCCTGAAAATAAGGAAGGTGGTTGAGTGGAATTAGGAAAGATACAGCTTTTGAATTTCAAATATATACATAATATATACATAAGATATACAGAAAATATACAGACAATATATAAGTCCAGAAAATATATAAAATAAACTAGGTAATTTTATCTCTTCGTAATCTTTTTTTTGTGTTATTTACATCTCGTGTATTTTCGGTATATTTATAGTATATTTTATGGTTTAATACATGCAACATACAATACTAGACTTATATACAAAAAATATACACATTATATACAGAGGACATGAATACAAAAACACGAGATAAATCAATCTTGTTATTATATACAAAATATATACAATTGTATATATTGTGGTTGTAGTCAATATATAATAAAAAAATTAAGTATGGGCCAAATGAGAAGCACGCCGACGGAAATATATACTGAACATATACAGTCTATATACGCAACATATAATGCAAAAAAAAAAAAAAAAATCTCTCCCTTTTATTCATCGTCCCTGTAAGCACGCCATCAATGGCCATATCCTCGCGAAGCATCATCGGTAGCAACCGCCGCATAAATCATGGGCATTACCAGGGCGGAGTTCATCTTCGTCGCCACTCGGATAAAGCCTGACACTCTCAACCTTGTTGTCGGCTAATTGGGGCCGCCTTCCCCAAGCTTAATTGGAAGGCTAGCGTCGGCGAACCGCTATCTCCGATCGTTGGAGGGACAACGCGCCTCCTCGATTTCGTGGTGTCCAATTGAGGTTTAGGGTCGCCTTACTCTCGACGGGTCTGCCACTCCATCGATCCGCCGACCTTGCGCTCAACTAAATCGTGGGTCGTCTGTATTCGATCGATAAAGAAAAAAATAACAAATAAAAATTTCAACTGTAGGAGGAGAAAAAAATTTTAAGCGTGAATTTGTAGAAGAAGAAGAAGAAGAAG